ATTAGCCGTCCGAAGATTTTGCCACGCATCCAGAAACACGCGAACAAAAGCGAAGTTAATATAAAGGAATTAAAAATGTGTCTCTTCTACTTCTTACCAATGTTTCATATATTGTGCCATGAAAACCATTGATTCATAGATCTAGACATGAGAACCATTGGTTCATCTGCTTAGACACGAGAACCATTGGTTCATACGCTTAGACGTGAGAAAATGGTTCACGTTTTTAATGTCAGATAACTTTTAGAGTTCTATATAATTACAATACATGTATTTGTATTTCCAGGCAGTCTAGATGACATGGATAGTACCAGTGGAATGTCCGGTGGGAGAATGTCCGGAGACGCTTACAGCCTTGATTCAGAGCTCTCTCTCGGACCGTTGGGTCCTGGACCCCCCGGAGGCCCCGATGGCCCGGGCCTTGAGCCATGGTCTCCTTACAGCGGTCCCCTTGGTCCGAACGGCCCAACAAATCTAGGGCCACCTCTGAATGGGAACGGCCCACTCGGACCCAACATGAGCCCCGGAGGAATGCCAGGGGGCCCTCATCACTACGTGGGTCGTCACTCCCCGGGAGCCCCACTTTCACACTCACAAATGATGCCCCTGGACGCCATGTCTGGCATCCCAAGGCTGCTTCCGGCAGGAGAAGACAATTCGCAAGGCTACATGGATTACCCGCCGTCGTCCGCACACAATCACGTTGAAGTTTACTGACGCTATCTCTGTGGGTTGTTTTGGTGATTGAAGAATCGAGTATGGATAAGCCAGCCGATATGTACTTATTATTAATTTATCCTACAACATGACACAGTTCTTACGAAGTATCGATATTAAAACAGTTCTTTTAATTTAAGTTACCGCAGTGGCGTACCTTGACCATTTGCCGCCCCCCGAACTTACAAAAGTGCGACCCATAACACAGCAAAGAAAATTTTTATATATCCCCCAAAAAATGTCGCCCCGGTCGATGGCGTCGCACGCCCCCTCCCTCCCCCCAGGTACGCGACTGCGTTAAGAGCATTATATTATTGAAACTGAAGACATGACTTACCGGATGTCCAGAGAGATATCAGTTGCTAAATTTAGAGGGGGTGGGGGGAGGGAATGGTGTGCGGGCGGGGTGGGGAAGAAGAAAAAAAATTAATTCGCTAAATGACGTCACGTCCATACATTTCATCTGATTGTGTACCGTAGTAACGTTTTAAGCCAAACATCAAAAACATCTCCACACAGCCCCCACCTCCATCTTTTCGAGTTTCCAAAAAAAAGGCTACATAATTACCTATAGATCGGCCCCTGGGTTAGGATGAAGTGTTAGTTCTGTCCAGCCCGTGCCATTTTGTTCAAATCAAACTCTTTACAAAATGCGCACACCTTTGCTACACATCAAAAACACACCGCCCACAGTGTCCCATCTTCAATACATGTTTCAACGAGTGTGTTACACTGTTAGCCTCGAAACCAAACAGCTTCAACAAAAACTCAAACAAGTCATTGAATACACTGTCGTTACCTGTTATTGATAGTAGTGGGACATGAACCAGTGAGAAAAGGTTTTTTCCGCCGACTTAGTGGCGTAAACTGGGGTAACTTCCGTAAGGGTGGGCGATGTGCCCCCTCGTATACTAACAATTCCACCGAGAATAAGTTGTTTGCGACAAGGGAGTCCCAAAGCTGAAGAAGGCGGCAACTTCCTTGAAATATAATAACAATGATCACGTGTCATCTTGTTTTCTTTCTTTTTTTTTTAATGAAGAGTTCTTAAACCAGGTGAACGTACCCATTGAAATTGTATAATAAATTACTTGTACAAACTGATATTATATTATGTAAACATTATTTTTTTAAATCACTCAATTTGTAGGTACTTATTATTATCTGTATGTATTATGCTTTAATACTAATTTTAATCGATTAGTCATTATGAGGCACCAAAAAATAGCAGTGAGTGTAAATGAGGACTGTTTAAGAACCGCTGGAGAGCGTCAACAATGGGACAAGTCCCCCAAAAACAGTTCTGACTTCGGCATGACTGTGCTTTCAATACTTCTTCTAGTCAGCCAATGACGTTGAACTTCAACTGATGGTGTTCAACTTCAACTGGTGGTGTTCAGCTTCAACTGATGGTGTTCAACTTCAACTGATGGTGTTCAACTTCAACTGATGGTGTTCAACTTCAACTGATGGTGTTCAACTTCAACTGATGGTGTTCAACTTCAACTGGTGGTGTTCAGCTTCAACTGATGGTGTTCAGCTTCAACTGATGGTGTTCAACTTCAACTGGTGGTGTTCAGCTTCAACCAATGATGTTCAATTTCTACCGCTTGTGTTTATTATTAGATATTGTTTTTCGCTTAGCTAGTGATGGAATGAGCTCTTGTTACAGTCTCAACCCCCACACAACAATTGTGAATACAGCATAATCTCAGTGTACCACACAAACATCGTGAATACAACATAAGCTAAGTTGTACGACACAATAATTGTGAATACAGCATGATCTCAAAGTACCACAAAACAATTGTGAATACAGTCAAATATAATCAATCCCCACACAACAATTGTGAATACAGCATAATTTCAATGTACCACACAACAATTATGCATACAGCATAATATCATCCCCACACAACAATTGTGAACAAAATTAATGTCCATGTTCTCCTCATACACATATAATTTAAAATTATCTTTTTAACATTTTATTTTTATTTCAATCGTAGTAACCATAATTTTGTCCCACCAATTTTTCAGAAAGAAATAATGGCAGAAATAAAGCCTACAAAAACGCCATTTACAGTTCACAGAATGAAGCAAACATTTCTCGGAAAAAATGTGTTCAGAAATAAAAATTGATCACGTGGAATTGGTCAATAGATTGATAAATATAACCTTAAAGTTTATGATTCATCAAATTATATCTTAAGTAGATGTACCAACTGGCAGGCAGATAAATGAGCGAAGATTCGTGGACGGAAATAATCTCGTTTTGAGCTCATCCAAAGAGAGATAACTCAATAATCACTTTTATTTTACTAAAGTCATCCCTGAATAGAATATTCGTATTTTTTTAAAAAAGATGATTTTATAGATGATTTCATTTGTTTAAAAAGATGATTTTATAGATGATTTCATTTGTTTAAAAAGATGATTTTATAGATGATTTAATTTGTTTAAAAAGATGATTTTATAGATGATTTCATTTGTTTAAAAAGATGATTTTATAGATGATTTCATTTGTTTAAAAAGATGATTTTATAGATGATTTCATTTGTTTAAAAAGATGATTTTTAGATGATTTCATTTGTTTAAAAAGATGATTTTATAGATGATTTCATTTGTTTAAAAATATGATTTTATAGATGTTTTCATTTTTTTAAAAAAGCGACTTGAAGTTGAAAAGAGTTTTTATTGCTGATGGTTTTTTTTTGTCCCCCCCCNCATTTTTCACCTGTGTTGTGATATTTGATTGTTCCATGTATAAATAATGCTCTTGTCCCAAGTCATGAAAGAATTCTCTATTTATGCCACTGAATTTGATCATTAATCATTTTAACAAATTATTTTTAAATTTTTATTTACTGTAAAAAAAAATAATTCCATAATACAGCGCTTCTGAATCAGAAAAAAAAAAAAAGGGAATGGGAATGGGGTGGGGGAGTGGGGCGCAATCGACCCCTACCACCTCAAAGGAAGATGTAAATTGTCTTCTGTGACACCAAGGGGTTCATTGTTTGATGACAGTGTCAGAACCATGGTTCAGAGCCGCTGTGTGATATGAGATTGACAGACAAACACATGTTCCTATGTATTTGACAATTTTAAGACTAAAGTGTTGACCAGTGTTATCTTGGGTGTCCCCAAGGAAATAATTGTCTTTGATGACCAGTTTATGTCAATTTAATCAACTGAAGGTGTTCAAGAGTAAGACAAGCAACATGTAATATTGACATTAATCAGTTCCAAAAGATCTCAAATAAAAACTTACATTCAGCGAATGATACCGGTAATAATAATTAAGATTGACTATCTTTATGTATTAATTTATTTGTTCCCTTTCCTGACAGACATTATTTTTTATTTTACAATTATATCACCCATAAATAGCAAATAACTAAAAGCCTTTAAAAAAAAAATTGAATGTAATTTATGTTTAAATTATAATTTTTTAAGTGTGTTTTATTTTAAATGCCGCATACCAATGATTTATCTTCAACTGACATTTCGTCAATGTCTCCAGTTATTCATCAAGTTATTCAATATTGTTGTATGTAAACACATGAAAGGCAGGCAGTGAGAGAAAACTGTCATTAGAGGTACTGTTTTGTGATGTACTCATGGTTATATATAGAACAGCTGAATAAGTGGTCCCCCCACTGGCCATTACCGTTGTCATGGTTAGCAGTGTCATGTTGGCCACTGTCTTACTTAACAGCTTTGTCATGGACCTCTCATGTAAATCACTGTCATACTTACTGTGTTGACCAATATCATACTTATCATGATGACCACTGATGACCACTGTCTTCACTTATCATATCAACAGACAACTTTGTATTCGTCATTTATCATTGATCATTAATCCTGGAATATTTGAAACTTTAAAAAAAAAATAATTAAACATTCCCTTACTTTTGAAACAAATTGACTTGAGTTGTTGATCCAATTATTACATGGCACAGTCCCCACACATTGACTTGAGTTGTTGATCCAATTATTACATGGCACAGTCCCCACATTGACTTGAGTTGTTGATCCAATTATTACATGGCACAGTCCCCACATTGACTTGAGTTGTTGATCCAATTATTACATGGCACAGTCCCAGCTAATAAAATAAGTCTAATGTTAGTTAGCTGTTACAGAACATGACACAGTCCCAACAAATAAAATAGGTGTTATGTTATTTAGCTGGTACAGCACACGGCTAAATCCAAACAAATCAAATGACGGTGATTTCAGCTTAGAAAAAAAAATAAAGACAAAGAAAAATGCCACTTTGTTGTTCATTGAATTTATTCCCATGCGACATCTTATCTCACATGTTAATGAAACAATTCGCCTCATCTTCATTTTCAGAGATACAATTTTGTCTCTTTAAAAAAATAACTAACATCAAAATATTTTGAAATTAAATTTTCAGAGATCAAATTTTGTATCTTTAAAGAATAACTAACGTCAAATAGTTTGAAATTAAATAAAACTATATAATGGAAGTATATATTTAATAAGCATAGCATTTAAAAAATGCTTCAAGAAATTCTGGCCAAATAAGAGATTGCCAAGAAGGACATTTAAATGCTATCAAGGGGGTTACTTGAAGTTTGCTCAACGGTTCATCGGAGAAAAAAAACCAGAAACTATCGCAATACAAATACTCAACCGCAATAGTTTAAAATACTGAACTTCAATAATTTAACTGTGAAATGGTTGGGTAAAATCTGAAAGTTTTTAACTTTAAAACTAATGTACATATCAATACAGAATCAGAAAGAAATTTAACAATGTAAGATTAAAATTCACAACATGCTTCCTAAAACAGCATTAGAAATTTCTATAAATTGCATTCAATGCAATTCCTAAAAAAAACTAAAATATATAAATAAACGGATATACACGTGGCCCATAAAATGTTATTAGAAAGTCTTTAGAAACCAGATCCTTCCTCCAAAACAGGCTATGACAATGATATCGGGGATTTGATTTAAGCAGAGTACGTATGCAGGACAACAAAAAATATTGACCAATGTCATGATACAGCAGCAGGCATTGATATGAAATGAGTAGACAGACATGACTTATTGACCTTTCAGTCTAAATAGAATGGAATGAATTGATCGAGCAATGATGAATCCCAGGCAGTGGAAAGCAGGACCAACCTTTGTTGATATGAAATGAGTAGACATCTTCAATTCACCTTCAAAAGTGCGAAGAGGAAACATACCCTGGAATCAGCTGCGGCGGAAATGACCCCTGAACTCAAACACCGGGCAAATATTGAATGCCTGGTACATCATATAAATATCAGTATTGCAGATGGGTAGTCATAAAAGTTTTATCAGCAATAAACATACTGACCAATTTCAATATTCACTCAACTTTTTCTTGGTCCAAACTTTCAGTGTGTATATATTAGTGTATATGTATGTACCAATTGTACCAAGATGTGTATTATACCTTAGATTTGATCGGTAATTACGAAAAGTTGATTTACACATCAAGCGCTCCAAAATGGACCAACTGACCAATAATTAAAAAAATATTCTAAACCTACTAATTAGAATGTACTTTTCAATCAAACAAGTTCACGTACAAAAAGTTTGTCTCAATCCATATCATCTTTCTAGATGAGTGCTTCTCAAAGCTGTGGTCAGTGGACCGGCACCAGTCTGCAAGGCGACCAGGAACAGTTCAGGAAGATGTAATAACTTAAGAAAGGTTTTAAAAAAAAATTATTATAACCAAAGAATTGAGCTCTGGTCCATGCTGCAATGCGGATACATTCCTGGTGCTGAGACACACTGACAAGTTTGAGAAGCACTGTCCTAGGTAGTTCTTTCAAGCACAAATGTGACAGTGCCTGTACTTATCTCAAGCCAATCACAACATCACTCAAGCCAATGATTAAAAGATTATACGATTAATATTACAGACCTGTTTACCCCTACGCTTTCGCCGTAGTAACTACGTTCTTAAGCCCAAGACTACGGCACTACGACGAGCCTAAAAAAACTACGTTTTCAAGAGATTTTTCATTGCTTTGGTTGATTTTTAATTAAAAATAAATAATTGAGGTGTTTTCAGTAAAAATTTACTGCACTTTTTGTATTAACACCATAAGCGATCGAATAAGAACGACATCCTTCAACACATGCGGGAACCATGATTTGTATATTTCTTTTAGTTAACTATATTTTAACAAAATATTCTTTGGAGTTTGAAGCTACATTTTTGAGAGCTGAAAACTACTCTGACACTCACCCTGTGGTAAACACGTCTGACATTGTAAACCAATATCCCATTATAACAAAATGAAGTAAAAGGCCAAGGATGCAGACATGACCAGTTGATTGGGCTGAGCTCAGGATGGCTGAAACCATTAGGCATCTGAAAGACCCGGTGGCCAAGTCACGTCAGTTGTCCATGTGAAAGACTTTATGGTGGCCGCATCCCATCAGATGGTCTATTTTAGGACTCTTTTATGTCCAAGTCTTGAGGTGGTGATGAGTCGTCCTTTGTTATATATTTTTACTAAAACAGAACACAGTGTTAATGTTAGCAGTGGAGTGTTAGGAAATGAATCTTTGAAAGTGATGACTGTATAACTGGTGTTGAAATATTAGATGATACTGGTCCCAACTCCTTACCCAACGTTATAAATAGTAATGAAAGATTCGATGAGCTTGGTCCCAACTCATTACACAATGTTAATAAACAGAAAAGAGATATAGGTAAGAATACATGGGGGAAAATATTATGACGTAAGCTCAGGAAGGCGTAGTGATACAAAACACTTATGGCCGTTGTTGAACCCTTTAATCCCACTCCAAAATAATGTTAATGATACCACAAAAGCGCTACTTACATTGGGCAACATAGAAGAAGCTAAGACAAACTTTACATTGAACAACATAGAACAAGCTAGCATAAACTTTACATTTGGGCAACAAGGTAAACTTGCACTATTACTTTCTACATGCTAAAGTTCTTTTAACTTTAGACCTTTATTAAATATATTTTGAACAAACTTTGTTTAAAATGTAAAACTTTGATTGATGTTTGTGTTATTTCAAGATATCTACCTTTGGGGGTCGCTCCTGAATGAAGGTGGCGATTTCATAAAGCCCAACCTCAAAGCTTCGGAGCCACTGTCCTCCTGAGTAGTACTGACCACGCAGCTGGTCCTTCCACCAGAAACCCTCGGGCAGATAGACGTCACGATGCCTGGCATTAGGGAACATGACGGGGGCAACCAAGAGGCTATTGCTGAGAAAAAACTCACAGTCGATAAACTGAGCCACCTTGTCCCAGGGGGAGACAAACCACAGTGGGCGGGCAATGGGCGTTCCTGTGAGGATACACATCGCATGAATTTAATTTGCAGCAAAGCACTTTCATTTATAAGTTGTAACATATACTTCTATTTTAACTGACTGGGTATTCCTGAGTGAATAGTCATTGTACAAGAACTACTCAAGTCCCATAAAAAAAAATAGATATAAACAGTGGCGTAGCTAGGGTTGGTGCCTCCAAGGGGAGGCAAAGATTTTTGCCCCCTCTCTTCTGCGAAAAAAAACCCCTCTGCTGTTGACCGAAAATGACACCCCACAATCAATGTTCCCTCTAAAGTTTGCTGGTTCGTGTGCAAAATCATACAGTTGTGTGCACAGTTTAACAGCATCAATTTTTTTGTGTGCAACATTTTACAGCTCACAAACATAAACACACAGTTACATGGAAATTAGCTGCACGGATACTCAAAACTGCTGCGCAGCGTCTGTGAGATAGCTGCGCAGCCACGCACCTTAAAGGGAACATTGCCCACAATATAAAGAAAAATGTGCCATCAGGGTGGACCGTCCACTCTGCACCCCCTTCCTGCACCACTGAACACAGTAAAATATTTCTAACGATCTATGACAATATTTGGATTTAATTTTGTTTAAAGCTTTGTGTGTCAGAATCAAATATAAAAAAACTAAATAAGAACTACAAGGGCATGGGGGAGGAGGTGGAGGAATGGTTGTTTTAACCAGCAATCAAACACAGATTTATTCACATGGCAAGTGAGTTTTCTAACTGGGGTCACCCAGCACCTGCCCACCTGTACACTTGGTTATCACATGGTTAGATTACACGCTTGCAGCATTAAAAAAAAATTTAATTAGAAATAATTCATTATGAATGAAAATATGAAAAAATTATCAGAATTTTATACTACCCCTCCCCCCGAGCCCCTCCCAAACACCCCCCCATCCCCCCCCCCAAAAAAAAACATTTAGAGACCACAACTGGTTGGGAGTTCTAAAGTAATAAGTACATGACTGAAGAGAATTAATTGTATGTACAACACTAAACCCAAGATCAAAACGTTCAACACTTTTTAAAATAACTTTTATATCAATCAAATATTCTTCTTTTCTTAAGTAGCAAATTTGACATTGCAGAATGAAAACGGTAACAATAATTGCATGTTACTATGTTAAAATATTTCCCTTACCAACATCTGTGGCTTCTTTGACTGCTCCTGACAGATACTTGGGCCATAAAACTGTACGCCTATACTCCAAGAGTGTCCTCGTGTAGTTGACAACTTCTTCACCGTACACCCACGGTCCGTAAGATAGCTCCATCACTGGAAGGAAGATGGCAATTTGCAGCCAGCGGATGTACAGTTCTTTATCAGGTGGGAGGAAATCCCCCGGAGTCTGATCGGCTGTGTTCACTCCCCCAATGGGCCCGGTGAGAACAAATGGGTACCCCATGAGGCCATAGGTCAATGTTGTGGGTATGATACTCTTCAGGCCTTTGGCGTGCTCCCACGTCGACATCATTGGCCCTGCATCTGCCACTGAAGTATGGGTCTGACTTTTGAAGCCGCTGCCCTGCAAACACCTGTCTCCGAAATCGCTGGCTATTTCTGCATACAGCTTTGTGAACATGTTTGGATGCATTGTTTTGTTGAATGCCAGCAAGGACAGGTCCCGGTTGCCTAGCAAATCGAAAGCATGACCTCCAGAAAATCTAAAGCCTGTGATGGACAGCTCTTTGCTGACCTCTTTCAGCTGTGATGCATACCATGACACCCCATTGTCGCTGGTTACATCCAAGTACAACGGCTGTTTCATCTGTACCACACTGTTCTCCTTATTTTTGTACACAACTGCAAAAGTTTCAAACTCTTTTGAGGAGGGCAGATAAGGATATACTTCCATACCGACGGGTAATTTATCAGAGGAAGGGTCAGAATCAAACTCCATTATCATCTGATGAGAGTTTGGAAATTTATTCTCATTAAAATAGAAATAGCCACTTGATCTTATATAATTGCCATCAATAAACAGCTGACTATATGGCAGCTTGTTGGACTTTATATTCTTCACAAAAGACAGTACGGTTGACTGGTCAATATCATCTAGGTTTATCCCTCGAGTACTCCATATGGGTTTTAACAGCATGGTCACAGGGGGTGACACGGTTGAATGTTCAAGTGCTTTAGCATCTAAGAAATGCCTGTGTGCAGTCTTGCCTAGCTTGTCCTTGCAAACTTTATATTTCAAGATGACCTGGTCATTTGACTCATGAGAGTAATAAGGCTTTTTGTAGGCAGAGTTAAAACATATTTTTTTGTCATTGTTGAAATTCATTGAGATGAATAAAGGTAGGTTAGAATCCAGCATTATAACCGTCCCGCTAGCACTGATAAAATAGGGCTCTATGAATGAATCAAAGCTTGCCCCATTATCCGATTCTGTTTTGGAAAATTTAAACTTCTTTGTAAGATAAGGCTGTAGTGACACATTCACTCTGTTTATTGGCCAGCGTTGAACAGACAAACCCCCACCACCATACCAATTGTCATTGGTGATGTCGACACAATTTGTTATATCTGCTTCCTTGTTGGGTGATACCCAATGCACAATATGACACTGCAGCCCTTCCAAATTATCTTCATACACAGCAAGATTTAATCCATTGGAAAAGAGCAAACAGATCTCAGGATTTCTGGCAGAGAATAAATCTTCATTCTTTCCATAAGTGGCATCAGATCCGTCTTCATTTTGTGATGTTTTTCCATCAATGAAATCTTTACATCTTTTGGATGATTGTTTTTTAGGCACAACTATACTAAGGTAATGCTTACTTGACTCTCTATCTGTGAACAATAATGTTTGAGAGCTCTCATCAAAGGCTACATTTCCTGATTTTAATGCTAATTGTGGTAGATGTTTGAGAAGTAGTTTTGACTTTCCTGGTAAAAGAGTCAGTGCTGCTACCACTATTAAAATGGCAGAAATTATACAAATGGCTCCACCGATTTTTAATATTTTGGTAAGTTTAGACCTGCGTAACGTCATGTTCTTGCTTAGTTTATTTTCTGTCGTTTCAAAAAGATATTCTTTCATTAGAATAACATGGGTCTCCTTACACTTTCAGGTAACATATCAAATACTGTGCATATCAAATGCGATTTGTCACCATAACATCGCATGACAGCAGATACAGAGTTCAATCTTAATCTTATCTGAATCGCTCACACCTTGACTTAACTTAGACTAAGCGTTTTGTTTTGAGAACATTTTTGTAAAAAGCTGCATTCTTCATAGTTGACATGACACTACTACTTCTGTCCTGCAGTTGTCACTTATGCTACTAGTAATTCAAATTCACAATCATAAATATTGGGTAATATTGGGAAGGCTAATTATTACTCTTTGGCAGTCTTTGGATTATTTATTAATTAATTATTTATTAAATTATTTATTATATCATAATTCATGTGTTTAACATCTTTAACCTCATCATACGCCTCATACTATACGGCACGGCATTATCATTATTCATTATGCGACGGAGATGAAAATATCATTGCCAACCATTTTGGTTGCAAATAGTCATGTAGACTACGACTTTTGATTAATAAATGAGGTATGTCTTGTTAATTCGTATTTCTAATCAAAATAGCGAAATAAGTCTTTTCAATCAAAATGTGTTTTTGACATTTCTGTTTATGATAGTTTATCACTGAACTGACTGACTTTTTTTTGGGGTACTTTTCACTCTTCATATATGTAAAACAATAAATCATAAATCAACATTTGATTTTTGATTTCTTAAGTAAAAGATTTCTAGCATTCCCAGTAGAAGATAAAATGTTTCGAATAATTCTATATAATTTTTTTTAAAAATGGACAATCGGTTTTTGAAAAGACTAGTCGTTCTCGTTTGATAATAATATATTTATTTTTCTTCCGTTTTATTACTGCAGCTGGTCAATAATTCATTAAGCTCATTAAATAATATTTCCTAAATTGTTTTTACTGTGTATAACTGCGTTTTAACATATGATATTTGGTATAAAAACATTATTTTAAATTTAAAAAACACCAATAATAAAATGGTATTTAAAAAAAGGAGTTTGTAACCAATTGTATAGCTTAAAATCAATGGCCATTTATATTTTAATATGCTAAATTTTAAGTTCACTGAAGAAGCTACTTTTGATATTTAGTGTTTTAATTGAAAAAAAAAATTAATTAAATATAAACACAGCACACTTTATAATTTATGGTGCGCAAATTTTTTTTAAAATTTCCTAAAATAAACTGAAGAGCACTATGTTTTTTTTTTTTTAAATAGATGCACATAATCCTAAGGAAGCTAGAGTGAATGTGTTATTGTCTAAACGGCTTGAGCAAAAGGCTGGAAAAAATCAAACCATATTTTACCTTAGAATTCCTAGCTTATTAACTTAACCATGCCTTAGTGGGGCTCAAGACGACACTAGGGGGCCCTACCTTCATGTAAGAAGTACATTTAAAGCCCATGAGTGTATTAACTAAGTCTAACGTGTCTATACCCACATTTTGATGGATTATTTTTAATTTATCATTTATTAAATGTCTCTGATTGCCCCAGTTACTATTGATATTAAAAGGCTTACTTTACACGTTGTTTTTCATACAACTTTAATTTTATAATCGACTGGCTTAGGGATTTATTAAGTCAAACGACCCATTCAGCTAAAAGAACCTGCACTGAGTCACCAAGTTAGCCTATCAACACTCCTCGTTTATGGTTCATATCTTCATATGGCCCTGTGTTCACTAAGTTAGCCTATCAACACACCTAGTTTATGGTTCATGTCTTCATATGGCCCTGTGTTCACTAAGTTAGCCTATCACTGAGTTAGCATGTAAGCACTCCTAGTTTATGGTTCATGTCTTCATATGGCCCTGTGTTCACTAAGTTAGCCTATCACTGAGTTAGCATGTAAGCACTCCTAGTTTATGATTCATGTCTTCATATGGCCCTGTGCTATGGGTACCGGTAGTTGTTATTTGTTCTATATCACCGGGGTCGCCTAGCTATCCTAAGTTTATTGAAAGCTAGTTTGGGGTTGTGGTATGTTTGATTTTGGTGACCCCTTTGTTTAAGAGAAGCTGTTTAGGAGATGTGCTATGTAAATAAACATGCGTGAGTAGGCAGCTCCCCCCCCCACCCCTCCAAATGAACGGCCTTCAACTGCTGTTTACCTTTTTTCCCCGTCCATGTCCTATGTTTTGACCTTGCCAGAGTCTTTTAATTTCACACCAGTTCCAACTTGCTGTAACACCTAGAGATTCATTAATGTAGTCATTACCATTGTGTTTAGAGGTACAATCTTCAGCCGAACGCACATATATCTTTCAGAAACTGTTTGCAAGAGATGGAAGACAACAGCAGCAGCAGCAGCACCGCCGCGGAGAACTACACTTCGGCGGACGCCAACCGGTCCGCGTCAGAGGATGTCCAACTCTACCAGGTGCATTATGGGGCCGTCTACGTGGTCATCTGCGTCATCGCGCTCAGCATCATCGGTAACGGTCTGCTCATCACTGCCTTCATCAGAGACCACCGGCTGCAGGTTCTGTTCAATATGTTCGTCATCAACCTGGCCGTCGCGGACATCATCATGAGTGAGTAGCTGAAGTCTGATTATCCCCCCCCCCGCCCCCCGGCCTGGTTATCTCCCCCTGGTAATCTTCCCGCTTGGTTATCTCCCGTCTGGTTACCTTTCCGCTTGGTTATCTCCCACCTGGTTATCTCCTGTCTGGTTACCTTCCCGCCTGGTTAAATCCCGTCTGGTATGTGTACCCTCCCGTCTGGTTATCTCCTGTCACATTTCACAACTGAACGTATGTGTGTGTATTTCATCTAACATGTAGCTATAGAAGTACGGCGACATACATATATACATAATAAACTATCATTAAACCTAGTGCAACACATGCACATTAAAAAAAAAAAATCTTGCGTCCTCCACAGGTCTGGTCATTATGGTGGAGGTATTCAACATATCAGCTTACCTGTTCATTTTCAGAGATGCCAAGATGCTTTGCCAGGTGAGTTGGACAGCTTGCATCCAAGTAAATAACTTCTCAGAGAAGTGCTCTGAGCATTGGTGACAACACCACCACTAGATTTGAATTTCTTAAAACATAACATGCCTAGGCTGTTTAAATGGGATGATAATAAGGAGAGAGACTCAATCGGGTTGGCTAAAAAGGAAATGAGTAAAACAAAGGATATTCAAACCTATTTTGCTCTGTTGTTTGTTCGCTGACGAAGACTTCCTGCCAACATGTTCGTTGTTTTGTTGCGTTCCTTTTTTTTCATGTTTGACCATACCTTGTTTTACTCATTTCTTTTTTTTTCTTTTTTTTTTAATGGAATGATATTTGTAGCCAATTTACTCATACGCAACAGATTTTCTTACAGGCATCTCTAAGGTAAGACGCAGCCCCCGCCCCCTCCCAGGGAAAAATTCTGATTTTCTTTCAACTTGGTACCGGTATAAAAAGTTGTCCAATTAAGACGCCCTGCTCGCTCCTCCCGATTTGCCTCCCCAAATCAAAAGTATCTGAAATAAAGCGTATCTTAAACCATAGAATCTTAAGTATTCATCGAATCTCAGTGCTATTCAACATATTGAATTTCGCATGTTAAAGATATATGTATAAATTAAAAACAAAAACAACTCACAAACACAAAATATCTAAATCTCTTTATCTCTACTAATGCACCTGCTTTCTTCTAACTGACCTTTAACCTACCAGATGTTCGCTGTCACGGCCAACGCCATCCCCACGGAGCAGCTGATTATTGCGCACCTGATGTGCAACGACCGCCACAAGGCACTGCAGCACAGACTGGCCTACAACCGGAGGTTCAACCGCTGGCACACGGAAACCCTGAAGATGGTGCTCACGTGGGCCTTCAGCTTCACCGCCAGCTTCTTCATCACTGATGTAAACAAAATAGTGGTCAGGGGGGGGGGGGGGCAGAGTCATGCCCTGGATGTACTATCTTGAGCTCAGTTACTGATACAGTACTTACAGCTTTTCTTGTCAGTGTTGTTATCCATTTATGCAATCCCCCCGTGAATCGCTGGGTTAATCTACTAGTTATAAATTAAATCGTTGATAAATGATAAATCTAACTTCTAGAAGGTCCCAAATGATTTCTCTCCCTCCCCACAACCCAACCTTACCACAGATCCTGTCAACGCTAAAGAAGAGGGACTCCCTCATGTGCATGTTTCCAGACCGGCCATTATTCATCAGCAAGATGGCGTACATGCATGGGGCGCTACTATTGGTGCTGTTTCTAGCTCTTGTTTTCGTCATCAGAGATTTCAGGTAGGTCTGGCTACCGAAAGAGCAGAACATGGATGAGACGTAGGATACATTTTAATTCGTGACGATTACATCATAAAGATTATATGTACGTTAAATGACTTTGATCGTACACATGATAAATGAATTATATCGTCTTTATCCAGGAGGCAAAGAAGAAAGAGGCCGTACTTTATCCGTCTGCTCAACCTTGAACCAGACCTTGAACCTGGCTGTAGCGTGGACGACGACCTCGGGAACCGAACCTCTCTTCAGTGCCTCGTTCCCAGAAGTCCGTGCCAGATGTTCGGACACGAAGAGTTCGAGATGACCCCCTTGCCCAGAGGAAAACCAGCGCGACCGCACGATCCGGCGTCCCCTATCGTGGACAGGTTCAAAACCATCGTAGCGTCTCGACCTCAGTCGGTCCTGCCGCGGCCGCTCTCTGGTGGGGCGGCCAACCCGTCGGGAAGCTCGCCCTTGTCTCTTCGTCTCTTCTCGTTTCGGTCTCTGACCCCGGGGTCGAGGGCCAAAGCCTACGACTGTGCCTTCAAGGACTGGATTCAGATGGAGGATCTGCAGGAGCACGAGCAGTGGGAGAACATCGAGAAGAAATACCAGAGACTTCAGATAGACGCACCTGAAGACTCCGGGCAGTGCAAGGTTCAAGGCGTGGAGTTCCAGATGGAGCACCTTGATGGCGGCAAGCTTGAAGAATTTGATACAGTGAACGAGAGCGCCAGTTATGTAAGACGTCGAATGCAAGATGCCGGAAAAGTTGGGAAGGGCAGTGGCGCAGCTGCACAACAAACTTGTGGGGGTGACAAGAGAAACGCTCGGCCCGTCGTAAGGAAGTCGGCCATTTTGGACCGTTGCAGAAGTGAAAATCGCAAAAGCGTGCGGATCATGATGTCGGACCTCAGTCGCGCCGAAGGGAGTCAGAAAAGTTTGGAGTACGACGTGAGGGGCGGGGACTTTGACGGCTCCTCCTACAGCCAGGATGACGGCTCCCAATCTTCGTGCTCACTATCGGAGGACGAGCCCACGGACTTTCCTGTTCCCCGTTTCAAGCCCCGAACCGACTCCCTGTATACTCTCCGCTCGTGCATGAGCATATCCGAGGAGTCGACGAACCTGGCCACCAGCGAGCTCAAGGATTCGTCGACGCACTCGGACAACTCGGATGTGATGGAGAACGTCGATCTCAGGAGTCCGCTGATGGCGCTCGCACCGAACGACGGGGCTGGTGTGTTCGGCGGGTGTTTAGAAACCAACCATAGATTCAACGCGGGTCCGATGAAAACCATTTCAGACGTGCCTATTTCTTTCGGTTCAGCTGCCAGCGATGTCGGTCGTCAGCGGGAGTTCACTGCATTTGAACCACGCGCGGAAGGAAGTGATGCCAGTGTGTATTTGAATGTCTCCAGTGTGGAGTGCCGACGAGGATATGACAAATTGGTTAGCCCCAGAGGGGAGACATGCCAAAAGCTCAAACACGCCATTGGATCACTTCAAATGCTCTCAAAAGAAGACTCCAATCCTCGCAAACAGGATACAGATGGCCACGCAAAATACACAGGCCTCTCCCAAGACGCAGGTCTCAATCAAGACGCAGGTCTCAATCAAGACACATTTCTTACCCAAGAAACGCGTGTCCCTAAAAACGTGGAGCGGAGCGAAGAAACGCCAAGGAGGACTCCGCCACTCATTGACCATCCGATCAGACGCGGGGGAACCAACCTGAACAACAACTATGACGAAAAAATGAAAGGAGCCGAGAAGACATCGGACCTCCAGGGTTGTACAAACTTTCGGGAATTCCCAGAGCTGGACCACGCGGGAAACAAATGCATACTTTTAGACTCTTACGCTGATCAAAACGCCAAGTCACGGCACTCAGAAGAGTTGGATAATATAAACAACAGCGCTGGCCGTAAAGACGCGCAAGACAACAGAGCGAGTAAGGTGAATCTCGAGCCGCGGCAGAAACTTGCCAGCGGCGTGCTGAGGGGTTATGGGTCAGAGGTCAACCCGGGTGACGCTCAAAACGAAATTCTATCGCAATCCATACCCGTGTTGGATATTGATCACGCCGCACGAGACTGGATATCCTTCTACAACGTCCGGCGTGCACCAAACACTACCGGACGATGCGTAACGAAAGCGGGTGACCAGCGCGGTGACTTTCCCGTTCCGACAACCAGCAAAGATAAAGTGGATTGTGGTCTATACAGACGCGTGGAAAGGCTAGGTGGGCCGCTAGGTGGGCCGGACGTGAGCGATTCGGATTGTATCGTCGAGGCGCCGCCCCTGTATGACGATGACAGGGAGATTAAGACCCGCATTGATGACTGGGTGTCTCTGGGTAGCCTCAAAAATCCTTACTTCAACGCGGGGAATGCCTTCAAGTGGGGAGCGGAGAACATCTTTGACACCTGTCATCAGCAGGACGTGGAGCGTGCCATTGAGGGCTGGATAGAGTTTTACGACATCAACGGACCCCACCCCTGTCCCAGCGAAACGTCCGACGGGAAGATGAGCCCCAGGCTGTCGGTGTCGGAGAAAGATGTGGGAAAACACGGCTGGACGGCCGAATACTTGAAGATGGTGGGCGAACTTTGGCGGGAAAGTTTCGAGAATGTCGGTGAAGACAACCAAGCTCAGAAGACCAGCTGCGGATCTAGGGTTGGATATTTTGTATCCGTGGATATCGACGTCCATGCTGGTTTTAATGACGCGTCCGTAGGATCGGTTAACGCTAAGCAGAGTGTGGTGCGGCTTCAGGAAACTGTGCACGATAACATGACGGAAGGTGCTGATGGTGAAGAATTAAAATTTGCAGACGATCTGTCGATGCAAAGGGATTGGGAAATTCCTAAGATCAACCATGAAGAGACCACTGCTGAGAGAATTAATGGAAACGGAGCAGTGGTTTTATCAAAAGAGCCAATCAGCGAGGCCGGTTTAAAATCTCAAAATGAAAATATACCAATCGCAGAATCCGAAGAGAAATGTCATTTTGAAAATGTACCAATCGTAGAGGACGATTTAAAATTTAACAATGAAAATGAGCCAATCAAAGAGTCCCGTGTAAAATGGGTCAATAAAGTAGAAAGCAACAGTCTAACGATGGGTTGCTCCAAGACAGACGTTGAATTTTGTGTGCTACAAGAAAATGTTTCAGCGCCCGAGGAGACTCGACTCATCGCCGAGTTGAGCATTTCAGACGACACGCGACAAGTGTTCTCTCCCCATGAAGTCACTCAGTCCCTACGTCCAAGTTTAACATACGGTTCTTGCCTTCCCCATGCTCCATCAGCAGACGGCGTACAGGAGAGAAATGCGGAGAATGGTGATGTTGTGTCAGGAAAACCATTGAAAGCGTCTTGTGCCGGCCTTGAAGATGACCCACTCCAAAACACGCTATCTCGATGTGAAATGGGAGATGTCGCGGACAACCCCGCTGCCCGAGATGGTTTTGTCAGTGTCGTGCACGAAGCTGACCCCCGTGATAAGAAACTCGATGGATGCCGTGACGTAGTGGGGGCGGAAAGTGGGCCCGGTACACATGATCCAAGTCTGAGCGCCGCTCTGGTTCAGACCGATACACCCAAGTCTTGGCTGTCGCAAAAACAGATACTGGAAGGTTTGAGCTTGTCTCGCAGAGCTTTCCTGTCGGAGATCGGACTGTACCACGATGTCCTGGTCGGGGCCGTGACGCTGAGCGAAGACCTTCTCCGGGTCAGAGACTGCGAGCCTTGCCCTTACTGCGTCAGCAAGGAGAGGGACCTGGCCAGCCGAGATCTGGCGGAGATTTCCAGTGCAGAGGCGTCGTCTATGAACAACGAGCTCTATCAAAGCTGTGTGGGCAAGCGTCGGCGGGGACACCCTTCAATACAACTTTGTAAGTTCAATCAGCTTTGGTCAACCTGAGTATGGTAGCAGCAGTCAACCTGAGTATGGTAGCAGCAGTCAACCTGAGTATGGTAGCAGCAGTCAACATCGTTTTTACTGTTTTGTTTTCTGATGACCCTTTCTTCCCCGTTATTTTGACAAATGACTTCAATTGAAACAGCGTATAACTTTAACCACCTATATGTTGTTACCAGTGGACAGTCCGAATGTGCGCAACGTAGGTCAATCAAGGTCAATCAGAGTGACCACACACTTAGCCGGCAATATGATGGTTAGACCACTTTGACCTAGTTTAAAGATTTTTAAGATATTAAATGCCCTAAAGGTAAGTTCAAGACAGGTGCACCGTCATATTGTTTTGACAAGCCGATAATTGACTAGTAGCGCCACCAAGGGCGTACACATGATTGTGTCCCCACCCCCTTTTGTTCCCCACGGGAATCAACCTCTGCAGGAAGAACCGCCCCTCCTCACATCGAAAAAAGTGCCGCCTGGGGTAGACCGCCCCCTTAACCCCCCTTACTACGGCACCTTAAGTTCCCCATCTTGTATTTATGGTGTAACTAGAAAGTGCCATTGGCAGACTTTTCTTCCTGAGGGGCCAGGCATGTCGTATGAAAGACCCCCAGCTGGCAAAATGCGACACTAACCTTATTTTACGAAATAATGAGCTGAATAGTAAATGTAAGGTCAAAGTTTAAAACTGACCCCCACCCCCCCCCCCAGGAGGGGGTCTTTAGACTAACTTTACCATTACATCATTAAACCCATGCATCAGGTGCGTTACAGTTATGACTTCTGGCAGCACTGCGATGAATGGTTTCAATGTCAGGTGTCATAGATGACATGGCCAACAATAAATGTAAACGTTTCAATGCCAGGTGTCATAGATGACATGACCAACAATAAATGTAAACGTTTCAATGCCAGGTGTCATAGATGACATGACCAACAATAAATGTAAACGTTTCAATGCCAGGTGTCATAGATGACATGACCAACAATAAATGTAAACGTTTCAATGCCAGGTGTCATAGATGACATGACCAACAATAAATGTAAACGTTTCAATGCCAGGTGTCATAGATGACATGACCAACAATAAATGTAAACGTTTCAATGCCAGGTGTCATAGATGACATGACCAACAATAAATGTAAACGTTTCAATGCCAGGTGTCATAGATGACATGACCAACAATAAATGTAAACGTTTCAATGCCAGGTGTCATAGATGACATGACCAACAATAAATGTAAACGTTTCAATGCCAGGTGTCATAGATGACATGACCAACAATAAATGTAAACGTTTCAATGCCAGGTGTCATAGATGACATGACCAACAATAAATGTAAACGTTTCAATGCCAGGTGTCATAGATGACATGACCAACAATAAATGTAAACGTTTCAATGCCAGGTGTCATAGATGACATGACCAACAATAAATGTAAACGTTTCAATGCCAGGTGTCATAGATGACATGACCAACAATAAATGTAAACGTTTCAATGCCAGGTGTCATAGATGACATGACCAACAATAAATGTAAACGTTTCAATGCCAGGTGTCATAGATGACATGACCAACAATAAATGTAAACGTTTCAATGCCAGGTGTCATAGATGACATGACCAACAATAAATGTAAACGTTTCAATGCCAGGTGTCATAGATGACATGACCAACAATAAATGTAAACGTTTCAATGCCAGGTGTCATAGATGACATGACCAACAATAAATGTAAACGTTTCAATGCCAGGTGTCATAGATGACATGACCAACAATAAATGTAAACGTTTCAATGCCAGGTGTCATAGATGACATGACCAACAATAAATGTAAACGTTTCAATGCCAGGTGTCATAGATGACATGACCAACAATAAATGTAAACGTTTCAATGCCAGGTGTCATAGATGACATGACCAACAATAAATGTAAACGTTTCAATGCCAGGTGTCATAGATGACATGACCAACAATAAATGTAAACGTTTCAATGCCAGGTGTCATAGATGACATGACCAACAATAAATGTAAACGTTTCAATGCCAGGTGTCATAGATGACATGACCAACAATAAATGTAAACGTTTCAATGCCAGGTGTCATAGATGACATGACCAACAATAAATGTAAACGTTTCAATGCCAGGTGTCATAGATGACATGACCAACAATAAATGTAAACGTTTCAATGCCAGGTGTCATAGATGACATGACCAACAATAAATGTAAACGTTTCAATGCCAGGTGTCATAGATGACATGACCAACAATAAATGTAAACGTTTCAATGCCAGGTGTCATAGATGACATGACCAACAATAAATGTAAACGTTTCAATGCCAGGTGTCATAGATGACATGACCAACAATAAATGTAAACGTTTCAATGCCAGGTGTCATAGATGACATGACCAACAATAAATGTAAACGTTTCAATGCCAGGTGTCATAGATGACATGACCAACAATAAATGTAAACGTTTCAATGCCAGGTGTCATAGATGACATGACCAACAATAAATGTAAACGTTTCAATGCCAGGTGTCATAGATGACATGACCAACAATAAATGTAAACGTTTCAATGCCAGGTGTCATAGATGACATGACCAACAATAAATGTAAACGTTTCAATGCCAGGTGTCATAGATGACATNGTCCACATGATGAGACAGACGTGCTGGCCGGCCGTGACAAGAAGCTGCAGGCCCATGAGTTTTGAGTACCTGAAGGCCCACGACCCTGAGCTGAGCATCCTCATTAGCCTTCTTCTGCTCATGCTGGTTCAGGTAAAAACGAACAAGTCATGTACCGTACATTTTTTTATGTTTTGATGAAATCACACCCCCCCCCTCACTTGTATCGCCTTTACTGAAGTATGGTGGTCGGCCTTCACACGCGACGATGACCAAAGCAATATCCGACTCGAGCAGTAGCCTAGAATTGAGCTTCATTTTGTTTAAAGAGAGAAATAGGGATTGGGGGGGGGGGGAGGATTGCTCAATTCGTCAGCCTCACTCTCTCGTCCTCGTCTATTTGCTCCAATTTTGTCAAGACATCTGGAAGTAGACCATGATGCAGTAGATGACCAGCAGTGCGTCTTGTGTGTCTCGCTTGGCTCTTTATGCGTTCTACGTCGCAGGGTTTGTCAGAATTTTCACTGTGTCATTGTCATACCGGCTACGGAGTTTGCCTAAAGCTTTAAGATAAGTTGCTATCCAAGGAAACACGAGACTCTTTCTGGTCCTAGTGCCATGCAAATTGTTTCTGGTCTTAGGGCCATGCGACTCTTTCTGGTCTTAGGGCCATGCGACTTTCTGGTCCTAGGGCCATGCGACTTTCTGGTCCTAGGGCCATGCGACTCTTTCTGGTCTTAGGGCCATGCGACTCTTTCTGGTCTTAGGGCCATGCGACTCTTTCTGGTCCTAGGGTCATGCAACTCTTTCTGGTCCTAGGGCCACGCGACACTTTCTGGTCCTAGGGCCATGCGACTTGTTTTTGGTATTAGGGCCATGCTTCTCTTTCCGGTCATAGGGTTATGCTTCTCTTTCCGGTCATAGGGTTATGCTTCTCTTTCCGGTCATAGGGTTATGCTTCTCTTTCCGGTCATAGGGTTATGCTTCTCTTTCCGGTCATAGGGTCATGCTTCTCTTTCCGGTCATAGGGTCATGCTTCTCTTTCCGGTCATAGGGTCATGCTTCTCTTTCCGGTCATAGGGTCATGCTTCTCTTTCCGGTCATAGGTTTTTTACACAAAAAATTAAGCATTTTTATTAATATTTTTGCAAAAGAACACCCCCCCCCCCCATATATATATTGTTGTATAAACCGAGACAAGCCCTCGTAGTCGTATGAAACGCTCATGAATCCAGAGGACGAGGCGGGGCTTAAGGTTCCTTGCCAAGAGGTGTCGACAAAGTTCTATTAAAGATTGGAAAGAGTTGAAAAAAGAGAGAGAGAGAGAGAGAGAGAGAGAGAGAGAGAGAGAGAGAGAGAGAGAGAGAGAGAGAGAGAGAGAGAGAGAAGAGAGAGAGAGAGAGAGAGAGAGAGAGAGAGAGAGAGAGAGAGGATAGCTAGCTTGACAAGAAATTGTATAAAATTGAAAGAAGTGGCGTATGCTCGCTCCACTGGGAGTTGAAAAAGCAATTAAGAAGAATATAGTAATGTGGCTATTTCTATCTGTCTATCTCTTATTTTGTTTGTTTCAAAATAATGATAATTTTTTATTTTTAAAAAATGTGATTTAGTAAAATTCCTGTAAAGTTTGCGTATATTTTTAACGGGTTTAACTGTAAAGATTCCAAACTGCACCCGTTTAAGATGTGACATTGATCAAATTCAATGTTCTTCACCGATTTTTATTTAATTTTCATAGTCATACACTACCAGATGAAAGTAACATGTCCATCAGTATTGACGTTTTTCTTTCTTTCTAGTTCCTAAAACCATCCTGCTAGTTAGTATCAGAATAACGTGTCTTGTGTATGTT